AAAAAAAAAGTCTTTATAGTTATGTGTATTCCACCCCATTTGTTGCCCAGTGCTGTGGGCTCGATTGGCCATCCACTGTTGAGCACTCAGCTGCATTTTTAATATAGAAAAAAATGGCCTCAATCATTTAATTCTCAGCGAGAGATAAAAAAAAAAGACGTTTAAGAAGCTCAGAAAATATTGAACCATGCTGTTTCCTTTTATCCTTTAAATCTGTAAAGAATGTCTATAAAAACAAAGAATTGGTGATAAACATTTAATGAACACAATAAAATGACAGGACACAAAATCCTTTTATTCTAAAGCATCACAATATTTTCTTAAATTGCACAAGATCAGATGTAAATAGAAGGTAGTGTTGCTTAATTTAAAACACAGACAAAAAAAGCAGGAAATTACTGTATATATTCTCTAATACTGACATTTAGTTCCAAACTGGACTGAAACGGTGAAGGTCACTTCATTAGCGCCGTTTCTATCAAAAGCCGAGATTACATTTAAGTGAAATCCCTTTAGTACAACCTGCTATTTCGCTTTTTTTTTTGGTTTGGACTCTCCAAGAGAAATGGAGACACGTTATAAAGCAGAGCGAGTGTCAGTTAGCGAGCCGTATACCGCTCCAGCCCCAGAAACAGATAAAAGTCGCACAGCCTCACAGGGTTAATCACCGTTTCAGTCATCTGTTATTTTCAGGGCTGTAGTCTCTTCATCATTTCATGTTTGCAGCTGGATGGCCGACCTAGTGTCGATGGGATCGCTCCGTCTGGCAGGTCCATTCTATATTCCTTTCTGTACAACTATACATCCACTGAGAGGAGCGTGTGTGCGTTAGTGCTGCAGCTGGGCCGCCGGCTCTGCGGCGGCGTGGCGGCGCTGGCTCTGAATGTGGGAGATCTGCAGGACGGGCAGCAGCAGCTGGAAGGCGTTGTGGATGTAGTTGGTGCTATTGGAACCCTGCGCAAAGGCCCAGAAACCGTCATCAGCAACGAGGGTGGGTCATGATTGCAGCATCATGGGAATCAAAGGTTTGGAATGTAATGCATTTCTAAAATGAATATACTTAGATCTAATTACGCTGTTTTAGCCATTTAATGGGAAACCTTTGTGTTTTCCTAACACTTCTAGCCATCCGCTTCAAATGAGTTCAAACCTAAGCCAGTTTATGATCAGCACGCCTGTGCTTTTTTTTTCCATCAGCCCCTAGATTATTATCGGGGTTATTTGGGGAAAGCAATCTCACCTCTAGCAGCACGCCGTCCACGAGTGGATTCAAGTCCTCTGCTTTCCGCTGGCCCTGCAGGAGGAACAGCTTAGGTTCATTTTCACACACTCTCCGGTGGGGAAATGTACAGACCAGTGACAAATGTGTTGTGCACAGGTGAGGACCGACATATCTAGTGTTACCACTGATACCACTAAATTGATACCATTGTGTTCTATTTGCACTATTTACTGAGAAACATAAAAGCATCTTAGCTTTTATTTATCCTAAAAAAACAATATATAGATATATATGCAGGAGCTTTCTGAGGGTTAGATATGAGCTATTGTACGGCAGATCAACAAAAACCATTTCCCTTGATGATGTGAGTCTGTAATCGTACCCCAACTAGAAGCAGTGTGTCAGAAAACCTCTTGGCCAAACAATCCACCTCCTTGCACATGGCGCACGTCAGCCTGGAATGTAAAGGTCAGTCATGCTGTCAGAACACAGCTCACTCCTCTAAACAGTACCCTCACACTCACACACACACACACACACACACACTCTCTCTCTCTCTCTCACACACACACGCACACACACAGAGACCTGGTGAGGATCTGTGCCTGGTCCCTGGCAGACTTTTCCTGCTCCTGACCATGCAGGATGAGCTCTGCCACCTTGTGGAGCTGCTCGATGCTGCGAGCCGTCACTTCTGCCAGGCTGCTGACTGACGACAGGTAGACTCCCTGCACGGAGGGGGAGAAACAGGCGCGCACACGTATAATCAAGCCGAGCGGTAACAGATGGAGGAAAGGTGGCTGAAAATTAGACTTTAAATCCAAACGCTGAGTTGACCTCACCTCTGCGGACCTCGGGTCGCTCTCTTTTACCTCCGCGTCCTTCTCTCCCTCCTTGGTCTCCCCCCCCTCCTGCTGCTCGCCGTCTTTCTTCTCCTCCTCCTCTTTGCTCTCTCCAGGTGAGGCCTGTCCTGGCTCGTCCTGTGTTTCCCTGCCAACTGTCTCCGTAGTGACAGGCTGCTCCACCTTATTCATCCAATCATGGGCCTTCATTCTAGCCTGAAGATGCATAATTACCACCCATCAGCTATGCATGGAGAGAGCTCACCATCCTGATGTATGCTAATAAGATGCATATACATGATTCTATGCTAATGGGGGCTCTAAACGTGAGTTGGATTATGCTGAGGAGCTTCAAAGAACATGGCTTTTATATTGCCTACAGACTTGTAGCAGGATGCTAACAGAGCTGTATCTGTTTGTGTGTGTTTGCATTTCAGTTGGTTTTAGGACATCACTTCACATGCAGCAAAAGAAAGAATGATGTCTATTAATGACTGATCCCTGCATTCTGACTTTAATTTAAGATGAAATGTATTATTAATGTATTATCGGACTCTATCCGACTCAGACACCAGTTTCTGTTCAACAAAGACGACAACCTGTTGTTCCACCGGAGTGTTAAACACTTAAATATAGTGGCAGACAATCAAAATAAAATAAATATATATATATCGATGAACCTAAGGCAGAGGATGATCGTGACTCATAAAAAACAGCATGTTTCTAGTTTTCTCAGAGGCTACAGGATAGAGATGCCTCACAGGCAAAAGTCTGTTTTTTTTAAAGGCTTCTCCTTTTAACTAATTCATTTACATCAGGTTAAAGAACTGTTTACTTACTAAGTTGCTTTAATGCAATTTTGGGTGGGTGCCCTTGGCCAACTCACAGTGGTATGTTGACATTTGAAGCAGAACCCACGTTTTTATTGCTAATTCAGCTAACAAGACGAGTTTTAAAGGGAAATTTGCTGCTGTTAAAAAAACATCGAACATCTGTGTCATCTGGTTGTGTTCACACTCCCTCAACCAAAAAAAATAAATCGAACGGATTTTGTGTCAGGTAAATCTAAACCACACGATGATGTGCACGCTTGTGCTTTGTGTGCCTGCACGTGTCACCTTGTTGAGCTTGTCGGGTGTCGCAGCGACATGGAGCTCAAACAGCAGCTCAGTAAGAACGCTTACGAACTCCTCACCGTCAGCAGCTGAGAAATAACAAACACACAAACACACACCTCTGTCATGTCAGCTGCTGTACAATTACACACCACAAGTGACGTGCAGCTTCAAACCAAATGTCAAAGATGCCATTTCCCGCCCGTGTTTGAATTAATCCCAGCATCTTGATCAACATTCAAGGCAAACCATGCGGCGCGCATGCGGATTGGCTGTCTTGATCTGACATCTGTGTTTCTGTTGTGGTGTGAATTGGTCGGTGGCCCCTGAGCACCCACGCTGGATCAGGCGCCGCCTTGGCTAGTGATGTGATTAGAGGTGAACCTGTAGCTCAGATGAAGCACTTTGGTCTTCAGTAAATTAGGTCTATTGTACCATAAACTATGTGTAAAAGATGTGTAAAATGTATGGTAATCCTTTCATAGCTATTGCTTTCTAAGCAGGCAAAACCACCCGAGGACAAAATGTAGGCAGTACACGGAAAGACAGTCAGAGCTCTAATATTAAAGGGACTACAAACAGTTGCCTGCTGAAGCCCTAGGGCCAGTTCTGTGGTCAGGAAAAAGCCTTTTGAAAAACTAAGTAGGTGAAAAAACAAACAAAACAAAAAAGATTAAAAAAGGAACCGGGCCAATATCAGCGAAACATGAATTGGAATCTGTGTGGGGTTTTACTGAAAAGAATCTGCAACACTTCACGAAGGAAAAAGCCTGATCAGCTAGCTTTGCCTTCATCACACCACGAAATATGAACTGGTTTACCGATCAGCCAAAATATTAACTAATGGATGAATGTTGTGTGTCGGCCTGTCTGTAAGTTTGATGTTGTATCAGACTGGGTGCATCATAATATGCCGTTAAGAGCATGATCTTTACAAATGTCAACATTTTTTAGGAAAGAATATTATTAAAAAGAGAGGGAGGATTATTTGTCAGTTATGTTAAGCAAGAGATTTGATCTCACCAATACCCTGCTCTACATCTGAGCACAGGCAAACTCTTCATCATATACCCCCCGCCCCCCATTACTTCTCAGCATGTGCGACCAAGTCAGAGTCTACCAAAGGCTGCCTGATCCTGGGTCAGTGCTCGGGGACTGCCTCTGGCCTCCAGCTGGTGCGGGTCACTCACATAAGAGGACAGAACTGTGTATGTGGGAACTTAGATCACCATTATCCTTCGTCTGTCCTCTGTTCTCCTCTCCTTCCTCCTCTTCTTCATGCTGTTTGAGGAAAATCTCTTTGATGAAAATCAGCTCCTTCTTCATCTCGTCCTGCTCTTCCTCCGACAAGGAGGAGAGGAACTCTTGGACCTGAGAATAGATCCACAGATGACAGCAACAGAGCAGGTCCATCACATTCTGTTTTTAGGAAAAGTCCCACATATTCCAAAGTCTTTGTGCCTTACCTTGACCTCACTCTCATTGGACAAGATCTCCAAGGCCTCAAGGTGCGACAACCCCTGGTAGTCATCAAACAGAATGCCGTAGTGAGCAGTGGGAGCACTGATGGGCTGGTTGCTCAGACGTGCCCGCTCTCTCTCCTTCGCTTCTTTCAGCATCTGAGAGAAGA